TTTTCTTCTTCTTTCTGGGTAAAAAAAGAGGAAAGTATATCCCTTATATATTAATTGGAGAGTGATTTGCATATATGTCTTCACCAAAATCATTCTCCCAATTTAATTGTGATATGACATTGTCAAAAATGTGATATGGCATTCTTATTCATTAATCTCTAACTAAAATAGCTCAAATTCATTAAGAAAATCGGTCAATCCCTTATTAGTCCAATTATCCAACACAATTAAATTTAATCTTCACTATATATAAGGGATCACGACCCTAATTTTTATGATATCAATTCAATTAGCCGAACATCAATTATTAGCCCAATTATCCAACACAATTAAACCTAATCTTCACTATATACGGCCAAATTTTGTTTGATATCAATTCAATTGGCTCTCAAACTTTTTTTCCGATTTTCTTGAATTTTTAATTTTCTTAAAAATGAAATTTTCATCAAAGGTAAAAGAGAATTTTTTTTTTCGTTTGATCAAATGTCTATTTAATTTTTTTTTTTTGTAGTTTTGACTTTTTTTTTGTTTGATGGAAATTCTACACATGAATAATCTTGTGGAAATATTCCAATTAAATAAAAATTACCATATTCTGATTAATTGATTGACGTTAACTACATCCGAAATTTTAGTATCATTATTTATAATTGGAAAAATAGCGAAATCGTTAAGAGTATCTCCATAAAATCGTTAAGGTAGTAAAGTCTTGGAAATATTTCTAAAGAAATGTATTAAAATACATCATATATTTTATGGAGATAATCTTAACGATTTCAATTATTTATCCCCAAAGACGTGATTTGTTAGAAGATACTTATGTGTCATCTTTACAATCACTCTCAACAAAACAATTATGACATGACTAACAAAATTGTGACATGACAATTTTGAATCAATAACAAAATCTTGTACAACTAAATTTATATTTATTACCATAAATAAATTAAAAGATTTATTAATCAATATATTATCAAATTTTCATTTTTATTCTAAAGTTATATACAAATTTGGTTTCTCATTTAAAAATAGTTTAGAAATTGATTATTGTAAAAATAAATTAGAGATCATTTTTATAGAATATATATTCTTCTGAAAATAATAATAAAGACTTACCAAATTTGTAAAAGAGATTTTGATATGTTTGTGAAAAAAACTTCCCAAGTTTATAAAAAAATGTAGTTATTCTTTTGAATTTTTTTTTTACGCAAGATAATTTGAAAGTAATAAAAATATTTTTTTTCGAGAAATTTAACATGTTTGTTTTACCTGTAATATATTACATTTTTATTTGATACCTTTACAT